GAAGTGCTGATGTGTTTGGAGAGGGACCAGAAACAGGGCAGCATGGCCCCTCCCCTGTAGAAGTGGGGAAACTGAAGCCACGCCGGCTCAGCGAGCGGTGGGCCCCGGGGTCGTCAGGTCTGAATCAGAACGCAGACTTAAGCGACCGCGACTGCGTCACACGCCCCTTCCCTTCCAGAAGCACCGAGTTCCACGGGGAGGGCGTCTCGGGGCGCGAGAGCGGGTCGCGGTTGGGAAAAGACAGACGACAGTTACAGACGTTGTCCCCACCGTCGACGCAAGATTTGTGTCTTGGGCCTTTGTAATTTACTACTTCCCGAAATTTTAAAATACTGTTTAAAAAGTAGGAAAAAAGTAGGCTGTGACTTGCAAAAGAAAAGGGTAGGGGCAAACCGTACTTGCCCTGCCTCTCTGACCTTTTTCTGTCCAAGGACCAAGGAATGGGGGAGGCAAGGGGGTGAAATAGGGTAAAGCAAAAATCAGCACCAATTCATCTGAGAGAGTAAATAAAGGTCCACATCCAGAGTGGATGTTCATAAGTTGACTTCCTGATTGTTTTAACAAATTTAAGTATGGAAATAATTGCCAGTATATTGGGCAAATTTCCAAGAGTCTGCAGTAAAACAGTGCTGTCTTTTAAAAAAACAAATTTTTAAATATAAAATTTATCTTCATTTAAAAAATTAGATATTGTAGAAATGTAGGAAGAATATATAAACTAGCTCTAAATTCTTGTCTTTGCTATGTAGATACATATTTTTAAAAGGACAATTAAAAATTAAATATAAAATAGCATTTGGTTTTGAAAGAATACACATAACTGTTGTAGTGCATTGAGAAAATAATTAACGCACAGAAGAAAATTCTAAAGTTTCCTAATTCTTCCTCTACCCAGAGAGAACTATTGTTAAAATGTTGATGTTAATTCTCACAGAATAAAATAACATAATAAAAACAGATATCACAGATGCACAAAAGTAAATACATACATTTTAACAGCTTTGTAGAGGTATAATTGACATAAAATAAACTGCAGATACTTAAAATGTACAGCTTGATAAGCTGTGAACCCATCACCAAAACTGAGATAATGAATATACTCATCACTTTCCCATTCCCCTTTGTATTTTATAATCCTTCTTTTCTGCCTTTCTCTGCCTTGTTTCATCCCAGGCATCCACTGATCTGCTTTTCCTCAGTATATAGGTTAGTTTCATTTTCTAAAATTTCACATAAATGAAATCAGTATGTATTTCTTTTTTGCCTGGTTTCTTTTACTTAGCATAATTATTTTGAGATCCACGCTGTAGTGTGTATTAACAGTTTTCATTGCTGAGCAGTAGTCCATTGCTGAGGATATACCACCGTATTTTTATCCTTTCACCCGCTGATGAACGTTTTGGTTGTTTACAGTTTTTGACTACTAACATGAAGCTGTTATAACTATAAACATTCCTATACAAGTCTTTGTGTGGTTATATGCTCTCATTTCTCTTGGGTAATTATTTTGTGTGAAAAGGCTGGATCATATGATATGCATATGTTTAACTTGTTAAGAAACTTCAAGTTGTTTTCCACAGTGGTTGTACCATTTTACATTCCTACCAGCAGTGTGTGAGTTCAAGTTTATTTACGTCCTTGCTAACCCTTGCTGTTGTCAGTTATTTAGTTTTAATTTAAAGTTTAAATTTTAGCCATTCTGGTAGTTGTATACTGGTATTTCACTATATTCTTAATTTGCATTCCCATAATAATTAATGATGCTGAGTATATTTTCACATACCTCTTTGCCAACCATATATCTTTGGTGAAGTGTATGTTCAAGTCATTTTCCCATTTTCATATTGGGTCAGTTCTTTTCTTATGGTTATTTAGTTTTTATGGTTAATATCTGGGTCTTTAGTATTAGTACTGCTCCTATTCAGGTCTTCTTTATATTGTCTCAGCGGTATTAATATCAAAGACCCCTCTGGTGGGTGGTTGAAAAGACTAAGTAAGAGAATGTATCCAGAGAACTTAACGTAGTGATTGACAGAATAAGCACTCAAAATAGTCTTTATAGTTTTTACTGGATAATTTCTATTTTATTTCAAAATCCATATTTTATGTTATTGAGCAAGCAATGGTTATTATTATTTAGCAAGACTTACACCTTTTATAAAGAATGCTGACAAGTATTACATTGTTGCTATTATGTACGGGTAGTGAGATAGAAATTCTTTTATTATATGGACATATTAAAGTTGCAGTTTTGTAGTAAGCTCCCTGGTCAAAAGTTACCATATATAAAGATGGATGCCTGAGATCTAGTTGCACTTAAACTCTGCTAGTAGAATGTGATTGATATTCACCCAGCAATTTCTCACTAATTTTTGCCCCTCTATACCCATTTCTGCTTTTATTTTCCCTAAACTTTTTCTGCTCCTAAAATGTAGTTCCCTAAAGAGAGGTTATGAAAATGATTCTTTAGAGTGGTATTAAATGCCAACTGCTGCTACTAGTGTTTTAGGAGAAATGATGCTCTTTATATAAATGCTTATCCCCGAAGTAATAAAAAAGCATAGATATAAAAGAAATGCAATACATGAGATATAATGGAAAACAATGCCATCAAATACAATACACATTTAAATATTCCATGTTAACTTGTCAAAAATGTTTCTTTTCCCATTACAAAGTTTGTCATATATTTTGCTGGACTTTGAAAATGCAAGGATCTGGTAGGTGTTACTTTTATCTTATGGGCACTTTGATTTCTAGTACACACAGTAAAATTAATGTGCTACCAAAAATACAAAAGTAGACCATTGCCCACCACTTTTCAAGATGGTTTCTTCTCTTCCTTGAACATCCCCTGAAGTTTTCATGCTTCTCTGGGATTCCCTTTGCTTCCTCATCATCCTTTTCTCCATTCTTTTACTTCATCATGGAATTAATCTCATTTTTAAGGTCCCATCAAATATATTACCATTTCTGTAAGTTCTTACATAACCTTATTCTGACGTAATCAGTCTTTTTTGTTGTTGTTGTCAAAGACTTTGTTTATTTTGAGAATATATCATATGATGCTATAATTCCTTGTGTATAGCTCTGTGTATGTATCCTTGAGGACAGAGCCTATGATCTTACTCATTTTAAAATCCCCCGGCCTAGCACAATGCTTCACTCTTTAAAAAAAAAAAAAAAGCACAAAAAAGTAATTTCAGGTGCCAAAATAGATGGGGATAGAAATTATTTTTTAATATAACATACCAGGTTAGCCTAAGACACTTTTATATAGTATGGCTTCACTTTAATTTAAATTTTTTGAGGCTGTCCAGAAAACCTCTGTACTTTGATTTCAGTCTCAAAATGAATAACAGGATCCACTCTTTTCTTCTTTATAGACATATTGGGTAAATTATTTATTTTATATGCTAAAATGCTTTGCCAGTTAGAAATTAAAGAACTCTATGAATGTGGATTTTTATTCACTGAGTCTTGTTTTGATTTATGTAATATATAGATCATGTTTTATCATACTATTTTCTTTAAAGCATTTGACTCTAAATACTGAACATTTAAAAAAATTTATCCACCTTAGAAAATATTTAAACAACACTCTACACTTTTGCATAGATCAGATGGGAGCAGAGTCACAAATAATGGGCAAAAGAAAAGATAAAAAGTAACTCCACCCCCTTATACTTGTATTTGTAATGAAGACATTTCCCCTCCTTTTCCCATTTCTGTTTATTCTGGCTTTTAGATTCTAACAAGGTTAGTCACATAAGCAATGTTTCATTTCCATTACTGATCCTGGTCCTTCCTAAAATTACTTTGCTGTAAAGAAGCCTGTAACGTGACAAAGGCAGAGTGGAAAGAAGTCCATTGATCACAAAGGATTAGACTCTTGCTGTTAATAGAGTATTTGAGGGTTTTTGAATAGAGAACAATAGAGGACTTTGTCTTAGAAGAAGAAAAATTATGTCATATAGGTATTGCTACTCTGTGTATTATGACTAGGAAATCTTTCAAATTGCAAAGGGAATGGTTGCACTCCACTGTGGAACACTTTCTGGCCCTACAGTGGGATCCATTCAAAACTGGGAAACCTTCTAGGTCACCTGATAAATGAGTTGGTGCTGAACTCAAGTGCAGTACATGCTGCCTCTAAAATTGGAAGAGGTCTGGCAAACTGTTTTATTCATTTTATTAATTTATTTTATTCATCTGTGGTCAGAGATGCAAGGTGCACTCTTACTTTACCTTGGAGGAGGTATTTGGCATGCCTCAAACTGTTGGATTCCTGAAACTGTAGCCACTGGTTATCTTCCACCCTCTTACCTGAGTATCCAGAGTGTTTCTTTGCTCATCAGATCGAGATAATCTTAGTGCCATCATTCTAACATGTTGCTCCCTGGACTGTTCAGATGAACCAGCTGTCTTTGGAGTTATTGTAACAGAGAGCAGGCAAGTCAGCATCACTCTGGAGCAAGATTAGGAATGTAACTGCTGCCTGTTCTAGGTGAATGTGAACTGCCTCAGATACTCCTTTCTGGTGGATATTGAAAATAGTATATACACTAAGCTCAAAAGTCACATACCATGAACTAGAGGCTGAGTCGGTCTGTTTTAGTAAAGATTCCATACCTAGAACAACAACTTCAGTTGGTGCTACTGCTTGGATAAGTACACTGTGCTCCATTAGGATTCTTCTGTTTTTGCAGAGACTAGATTGGTGAACTAAATGACGATATAGTAGGGACCATTACCCTTGCTTCATTTAAGTCTATGGGGCTGGCACTGGTCCCTGCCATTCCACCAAGGATGTAGTACTCATTGGTTTTAAGAACTTTGATGGATGGGAAATTT